AATCCCAGCTACTTGGGAGACTGAGGTAGGAAGATTGCTTGAGCATGAGTTTGCAGTGAGCTATGATGATGCCACTGTATTCCAGGCTGGGTTACAGAAAAAGAACTTATCTCAAAAAATTAAAAAATCTTTATGCCATCACAGGCAGGGGACAGAGAAGTATACAAAAAGATGCCCCTGGGCTGTCCCTTGGTATTTCCTTTTCCATTTCAGCACCCAGTGGAAAAAACAAAGGTAAATTATAGTGTCCCAGAGTTGGAGTGGACACCCCTGCCAAAACTGTCTACACCATAGTTCTGTCATTCTGGACAGCAGGTAGGGGTAGGATCCAGTGCCTTGACAGTAGGATCCAGTGCCTTGACATCCTTCTTACAGTCCCAGTTTTCAGTTTGACTTCCATGCTTCTACCCCAGCCCAGCACCACAATAAAGGTCCCCCTGCATCCTCCATTACCAGTCCTATGGGAGCCTTCTCAGTCTTATTCTGCTTTGTGTTTGAACCTGCCACACCTGGCATCTGTCCTTCCAAAGTCCTACTACTCTGTTGAAAATCTCAACTGGCTCACCATGAGCTTTTTTTTTTTTTTTTTTGAGACAGAGTCTCACTTAGTCACCTTCGGTAGAGTGCTGTGGCGTCACAGCTCACAGCAACCTCAAACTCTTGGGCTTAAGCCTCCCAAATAGTTGGGACTATAGGCTCCTGACACAATACCTAGCTATTTTTAGAGATGGGGTATCACTCTTGCTCAGGCTAGTCTCCAACCTGTGAGCTCAGGCAATCGGCTGGCCTCAGCCGCCCAGAGTGCTAGGATTACAGGCATGAGCTACTGTGCTGGGCCTTCCATGATTTATTAGCGTATTGAGCACCTACTGCATATCAGGGGCAGTTCTGGGGATACAGCAATGGTAAAGCTCACAGATCAGCAGAGAGAACAGATGTTCAACAAAGAGTCCGACCTGTGAACACACAGCAACTGCAGCTCTGATTCAAGACCACTCAATAGCTCCTCGGCCCTCATTGGAGGCATACTTGGGGAGAATCTGACCCTAGCCAGGCTCTGGTGCACCCTTCTCATTGTCTCAGAACTATTTTACAGCCTTATGAATGGTAAAAGACTGGTGGTACAGCAAATGATTTGCAAATTTTATCTTGTGGAAAATGAGATTCCTGGCCTGTGGCTCAAGTGGCTAAGGCGCCAGCCACATACACCTAAGGTGGTGGGTTCGAATCCAACCCTGCCAAATAACAATGACGGCTGCAACCAAAAAATAGCCAGACGTTATGGCAGGCGCCTGTGGTCCCAGCTACTTTGGGAGGCAGAGGCAGGAGAATCGCTTGAGTCCAGGAGTTGGAGGTTGCT